GGGCTCAGGCAATTCATTCACCTCAGCCTCCCAAAGGCGCAGGATTACAGGCTGAGCCACCGAGCCTGGCTCAGAAGCTCTTTTAAGGAGTGATACCAGCCAGGAACACTGGCTCACATCCACAATCCCAGCACTTTGGGAGGCTGAGGCAGGAGCATTGCTTGGACCCAAGAGTTCGAGACCAGCCTGGGCAACATAGTAAGACCTTGTCTCTACCAAAAAAAAGCTAGGCAAGGTATCATGCACCAGTAGTCCCAGCTCCTCAGGAGACTGAGATGGAAGGTTGAGGCTGTGGTGAGCCATGATCATGCCACTGCACTCTAGCCTGTATGACAGAGAGAGCCCCCAACTTGAAATTTGTTTTTAAAGATTTGAAAATGTGTTTATTTTACACTTAACAAAGGCTGGGTGGTAGAGAAAGAAGGAACCTACTAAAGTACAATAAAAAATTCAAATCATTTTTCCATACTTTCTTCCCGTTGTTTCCATCTACATATTCAGGACTTTATGTGAGCATGTGGCCACAGCATAGACACAATTTTGCATTCCATTTTTTTCATTTCATCTCACAATAATTCTTTCATGATGTTTCTTCCTATTTATCACTCAATTGCTACATCCTATCCTATCAAGTAATTCTATAATATACTTCACCATCCCCCACTGTTTGCCTTCTAGATAGCTCCTTGCTTATCAATACTGTGGTAAACATATTTATGCATTTAGTCTTTACTTTTTTTGAATTACTTGTTAGGCTAGACTTCTAGAAATTATATTATTAACTCAAAAAATATGAACATTTTGAAATGTATTGCCATTTGCTTTCAAAAAATTTTTAAATCAATGTGTGTACTGCCACTGGCTATGTGGGAGGATTCATTTCACCACAACTTTGCCAGAATAGGATTTTATCATTATTTTTTATTTTTTCTAGTAAGCAAATAGGTGCCATTTTTCACTATAGGCAGACAAATATGCCAGGCAGACAATAAACTTTGAGGGATAAGCACGTAGGGGCAGAGTTGAGTCCTATAGTGGTATAAAATCCTAGGGACTCCCTAGGAGGCTAGCTCTTTTCCCATGGCCAACATGGGCTCACATATGGGTAAGACCCTGTTTTTACTGTACTGACCCAGGGGCAAAACTCCATTCCTCTCTTGGTTCCCCACTCCACCAAAGCAAATCTACTTGCAAAAGCATCTGCAAACACAGCAGACTTTACTAAAGATTGAGCAGGGGGGGCTCCAGAGGGTTTTTGTTGTTGTTGTTGTTGTTGTTTGTTTTTTGTTTTTGAATTGGAGTCTCACTTCGTTGCCCAGGCTGGAGTGTAGTGGCACACTCACGGCCACCCCAGCGTCGACCTGCTGGGCTCCGGTGATCCTTCTGCCTCAGCCTTCCAAGTGCCAGAAC